CTAGGGRTTCTTCCTCAATGGGGAACACGTATCCTGGGAGCCCCAGGGGTGAGGTGCCCGTCTATGATCAGGCAGCCAAATGGGTGTGTGCTGGACCACAAGGTTGCCACCTTTGCTAAGCCCTCCCAGGGAGGGACACTCTTCTGCATGCCAGGGCTGTGTCTGCCAGCCTTCCTCCTCCCCACCCCCTTCCTACTCTGCTGACCCTGGCCCAGCCCCCCCAAGAAGTATTGCTCCTGGCCTTGGGGACCCACAGAAAGGAATTACTTCAGAGCAACTTCCTTCCCTCTCTGAAGGTGCAAACCAGGAGGAGAAGGAGGAGAAGGAGGAGGAAGGGCTGTGTAGCAGCTACCAGGTGGTCAAGGTGTAAAAACCAGCATTGGGAGGGCAGAGTTAAACAAACCTAGGCCCTGGGGCTGGTGGCCCCACAAGGTTGATGGAGCAGTGGGGACACACTATTAACCTGGCAGGCTCCAGGAAGAAAAGCAGTAGGGGCCAGAAGCCTTCTGAACTCCACCCAATCCCCTGCCCTGGGCAGTGGGCAGGGACTTGAGCCAYGGCAGCAGCTTTAATGAGGAGATGCTGCTGCTGTGACTCAGCCCTCCAAAGGTGCCTTCGTTTATTTTATTTTTCCATCATAAAAACCCAAGTTGCAACTCAGCCAGATTCTCTGGCTGTGGGGGTAGGGCACATGGCAGAGCCCAGGAAGGCGACGAGGGCAGGAGGACTGTCTGAAGCTGGCCCCTTGCCTTTCTTAGAGAGGAGTTACTGGGTTCCCCTGGCTTGTCCCTAGCAGGGAGCAAAAGCCTGGGGTGGGGTCCCTCTATGGACCTTCCTAGACCTGCCCTCTCTGCCTTCTGAGAAGAATAGCTATACTGGGCCTGTTACCCTTAATTCTGCTGTCTTATGACTAGTGTCCAGGTTGGCTCAGGGCCATCTATCCCAGAGCTGCATGTCTCAAATGCTTTCTGCCATAGAGAAGGTCCAAATGACGGGCTTCTCACCTTGTCCGTATGACTCTTCCCCAGGCCTGCCCCACTGATCAAAATCAAATTGGGAGTTGGAGAGCCAAAGACCTTAAAGGTCATCTGATGCTCAAGTCAGGCCCAGCGTCACTCCCTGGTGCAAAGCCAGGTTGTCTGAATGGTACCAGGAAACTTACTACTCCAAGACAGCCCATTCTGTCCTTGGCTCTGATGCTCCTTCCTGCCAAGATGGCACCAGAGCTCCTACCCCCTGCAGCAGACTGGCAAAACCGGTGCCCAACCTGACTGCAGGGGCTGGCCCCAGCTTAGACTGGTTGAGTGGGTATATCTGGCCAAGTACAAGTGTGGATGGGAGGAAGGAAAATGGAGAGCAATCTGCCCTACCTAGCAAAGCTAGCATGAAATCCCTCCTACAGAAAGAGCACAAGACCCTTCCCAATCCCTGGTGTGTGCTGGGTTGAGAGTGTAACCAGAGCTAGCAAGGTTCCTAGAAACTTCCACTCTTGGAGAGGTCCAAAGGTTCTGTGAATCAGGAGGTGGGCTGGCACAGTAGTAGCTGAGCTGAGCTGGTAAAGCCAAGCTCCTTGCTCCCTGGGTTCAGATACCACATGGGAGGGTGGTCTACAATCTTCCTTGTCCTGCCTGCAGCCTGGGTGTCCTCAGAGCCTGTAGCTACTAGGAAATTCCACTTCAAGAACCAGGCTAACGAAGGCACCTGTCTGGGCTCTCTTGACCCCACCCTTCCTGGCCTCCCCACAGTGGAAGGCTGGGCAAATATGCAACAGGAGGGTCTGTCTATACAGCAAAGGGGTACCAGCCTGGAGCCCTAGCAGCGGAGAAATGGGCCTGCCTCAGAGAGTGACACTACTTCCTCCAACAACTGGACCACAGGGTTTTAGCCACAGTCCCCTTGTGGGTAGTGCTACCCCTCACTAGCTCCTCCTGTGCTCCATGGCCATCCCTTTGAACTTGCCCTCTTGCCTACTGGGCCCTTTACCCAGCAGAGTCAACTCTGGATCCTCTACTGGACAGCCCCTCTCCTTCCTCAGCTACTTTTAGGAGAGAGAGGTGTTATACTCATAACTCAGATAATCAAGGGCAAGTTCAAAGTGGTTCTTTCACAGCGGCTTTCACCCTGGCTTCCAGTTGTGTTCAGACCCAGGATTCAGCCTGGTGGGGGCCCAATCCCAGGGAGCTTCCCAAGCAGAATGGTTTACCTGTATCTGAAAGCTTCCTCCCTGCCCCTCCCCCGTCCAGCTCCCTCCCCCTGGGAAATCACTCTAAAAGGGCCTAATGGAACTATGTCCTCCTCTCTTCCTCTCTCCTCCCCCTCCCTCTCTTTCCTTTTTTTTTTTTTATTAGCATTTGTGGAATTTATTCCCAAACTCTCCTAATCTTCCGTACACAACCATTTGATTTGCATAACCCAACCCCCTCTCATAAAAACTGGCTGCTAGTTTAATTAAAAAATGTAAATTTGCTGTCATCTCGGGGCCTGGTGAATTAGGACGACATCGGCATTTTTTATTGCTAAAGACGTCCAGATTGATCCAGCCCTTGGCTGAACCATGGTGGGGGAAAAGGGGTCCACATGGCCCCTGAAGGTCTTGAGGTCCTGCTGTCCCTTCCTGAGAAGCCTGGATTCTCCTGTCACTGAATTACTTATGGTCAGAGTGCTTCAGGCTGGATGTGTCCTGGGCCACAGGGGATGTTAACCCATGAACCAATGCTTGTGCTGCCAACTCTTGGGGCCCGTGTCTCCAGCCTTGTACTGTGTGTGCCAGGAGGCCCTCTGCTGAAGCTGTCCATGCTGCCCTCAGAGGAAGAGAGCCCTGCATTGCACCAGTAATGAGCCTTGGCCAGAGATGAGGCAGTGTCCCCTGTGAGTCCCAGAGGTCAAAGGTCAAGGGGGATGCTCTTAGGTCCGGAAGCACGGAGTTGGCCCAGAGATAGACCCAGAAGGGACGGACCTCAAAGTCCCTATCTGCTTCCCCTTTTTTTGTGAAGTGAGGAAAAAGTGTTTTTCTTCTGAAGTGCTGAGATTAAGTGAAACTTCCAAGTTCAGAGAAGAGGCTGAGATGATATCGTCAGATGACTCCTCCAGGAAACAGCCAGAACTTTGACACCCTGGACTCTGCATGGCCAGAGTCCAGCCTGGGTCCCATTGGGAGTGCCCTGCTCTAGCTGACCTCCAGGGCCCTCTGGCTTCTAGGAAAAGTTTCCAGAGCCTGTCCCTGGATTGCTGGGAGAAGTAAGTCTCCCCAGGGCTCTGGGAGGTGCCCCAGGAGGCTCTGTCACTTGTCTCCTGCCAGGCCATCAGGACACCCACAGAAGTTCTGTGGAGTGGTGCCCCCACAGCAGCCTTCGTGGGACTGGCATGGCAGGAGGACTGGCGCCAGCTCCACTTGGCACCCAAGTTAGAAGGAGGAAGACAGGAGGACCTGTCTCCCAACTGAATAATGCCCACCCACTGCAGAGGCTCACCTGGGCCAGGTAGGGGCCACTGCAGAAACACCTGGCCCAACTCTGAAGTCTGCCCCTTTGGCTTGGATGGGTGGGGGTCCCATTTTCGAAGAAGGGGGTGGGGCCTGAGAGGGAGGTGATGAGACACCTGATTAGAGGTAGGAGTGAGCTGGTTCTCTGTGGGCGTGGAAGGCAGGGAGGGGCAGGGTGGCAGCTGGCCTCAGACACCTTCACAATTTTTCCCAGCAGGGGGCATCACACCCTTCCTGGGCACAGAAGTCCTGAGGACCTCCACAGCCCATTAGCCAAGATCACACCTGTTGGGACACAGTCTAAATATTCTGTGAAGGGCCCTCCACCCACCTTACACAGCTCCAAAGCCCACCACCATGTCACCTGCCCTGATCCCTCCCACCAGTGCTATCTACTCCAGTTGACCTCAGAGTTCGTTTGAATGTCAGCTCTTGGGTGCCAAGTGACCATGTCATGGACTTGGGCCTATCACAAACAAAAAGTCTGACACTAACTCTGATACCACCTTTCCTTCCATAAGTGAAACAGAAAGGCTCAGTGATTAGTCCCAGTGGGTTATCAGCCTGTTTGTTTCTTTTAAAGACACTTTGGAAGAAGAGAGTTGCATTTGACCCCCTAGGATGTGAGGGTCCGAAGGAAGCCTGAGGCGCTTAGGGCAGCCCTCACCCACTCAGGTAGGAATCCCACCAGGGACAAGAACTATTAGATCACAACCACTAAGACACTGAATTCTCAAGACAAACTCTGCCTAGGTCAGTGGTTCACTACCTGGAGCCAAACCCAAGTTCCAGACCCAGGTGCCTAAGTCTGGTGCTTGGTCATCACCCACTTCAGGGTGCCAGCTAAAAGGGGGCTGGGAGAGTCCTGGGCCCCTCACTTTGAACTGATAACAGCCACCTCAGCCCACAGATTCTCAGGTGAAAAACACTCATTAGCCATAATAAGCAGCTTGATCATCCGACACAGCCTTGTCCCAAATAAATTAAATTCCTTTACCTTGAGACAGTCGCCCCGAAACCAGACTAACCACCTTTCCCAACAGGACGCTGCTTTCAAAAACTAAACCACCCCCCACTAAAAAAATAAAAACACACACCCCATTGCCAGACACACAGAGATCTTTGCGGAGGGGAGTAAACTACTTTTAACACACACAGGAAAACAAAACAAAACAAAAATACGGAGGCATACCAAAAAGAAAGAAAGAAAAAAAACACGGAGATCAAAAACCCCCACAAAAAACCCCTAAATCCTCTTTCTGGGTGCCCCCCAGCTCCCCGTCCTCTCGGTTCTTTCATAATGACAAGCATCAAATTAGTCACAGTCACTAGGCAAGTAACAAATAATGACAACACTATGGCCCTCCAGAAAGCAGGGCGCAGGGGCGGCGGCCCGGACCCTCGGCGCCGGCCCGCACCCGGGCCCAGCTGCTAGCTGATTGGGCTAAAAATAATAACTTCCGTAAAAGAACCGAAAGAAAAGCGAAAGAGCCTCCCGGGGGCTCCCACCGGCCGGTACCTGTTCCAAGATCCATTCTCCGCTCCTTGGTCCCAAACTCTGCGAGGAACGTCGCGGGCAGCAGAGGGGAGAGAGAAGACTCGGTTAGTGCCTGCGCGGCCCCCGCCCGCCCGCCCGCCCGCCGCGCTCCCTCCCGGCCGGCGCGGCGCATCCCGGGCTGGGGGCGCGGGCCGGGCCCGGCGGGCCGGGCGGCCAAACTTTCCTCCGCGCCCGTCCCGCTCGCTCTCACGCTCCGGCCGCGCGCGCCCGGCAGCTCCGAGTTCACCAACTCGAGCGCAGCCGCCGGCGGTCGCGGCCTGGCGGGGGAGGCCCGCGAGGCCCAGGGGCGCCCGCCGCGCCCCGGCCCGGCCCGCCGCCCCGCGGGGGTCGCCGCCGAGCGCCCGGCCCGGCCCTCCCCCGGCCCGCTCCCGGTACTCACCATAGTCGGAGAGTCGAAAGCCGAATTCACTTAAATAATCAACTTTCATAATACTTAATTAATGCCTAATTGCAACTGATTACTCCCCGAATAACAAGTTGTTTTAAAACCCTGATGTCATTGCTCCTGACGGTAACACTCAGGGTAACAGTTTGGCAGGAGGGAGCGCGCGGGCGGGAGCGGCCGGGCGCTGCCAGGCGCCGAGGTGATTGGCAGGGCGGCCGCGGCGCCGCCTCCTCGCCGGGCCCGCGCGGCTCCGGCAGGTGAAAGATCAGCGCTCCGCCCGCCCGCCCGCCTCGCGGAGGTGCTGAAGTGAATGGGCTCGCGCTCGCCCGCGCCGCGCGCTCGCCCCCGTGCGCGCCTCTCGCGCACCGACTCTGGCGGGCGGGCGGCCTTACTGGCTCAGTGATTCCCCAAACCTTTGACTTCGGGAGGAGGGAGGCGGGGACTCTGCGCTCGGTGCCGCGCGGGCGGGGGAGGCGGGGTGGTGTGGTGGGGGGGCTGTCGCGCGGCCGGAGCGAGGCGCTGGCACGGCGCGCGCGCACGCGCCAACTCTCGGCGGCCGCTGGCGCGCGCGCTCGAACGCTCCCCTCCGCCGCTCCGGCCCCGCGAACGCGATCCGACGGCCGCCGCGCGCCCGCGCTCGCCACGCGCCACCGCCACGCGCGGCCGTGCAAACTTTTCCGCGCGGGCGGGCCCAGGTGCGAGGCGCCGCGGGACCGCGCCCGCCGGGACGCGCGCTTTCGCGCTCCCCTTGGCGCTGCCCGGTGGCCCCGGGCTTCTGAGGTATCAAAGACATTGGGTACCCCGATTCCCTCATTTTGTTGTGGTTCTTYGAGTTCGAGGGAAAAAGGAGTCCCGGGCGGTGGGGCTGGGCGTGTCGGGAAACTCGCGCGTCGGCCTCGCGGGCCCCCCGCACCCGCGCTCCCGGGAGCGCCCGCCCGCCCSGGACACACTGGGGTTTCCGCCGCTTCGCTTTGCTTTTGCCCTTGAAATGGGTCCCGGCGCCCTCCCTGCGACGCAGGTCCCTGGTCTCCGGGCCTTTCTTTTTCTTCCTCCTACCTCCAGTTGGGCCACAGCCCCACAGCCCGACGCGAATGGGTCTGGTGCCCCCAGACTTTCCCTGGGCCGGCCCTCGGGCAGTCTTTCCTCGGGACGCGCCTCCTCTCATCTACCATCACTGGGGCTGGTTCCCCAACGCGTCCCCCTTGCATTCCCAGACAGAGCACAGGCACCCCTCAACCAAAGTGCCAGGGTCCTCCACCTGTTTCCTCTGTGCCCTGGGAGTCAGGACCACCTTGACACTGGACTTCATTCCAGACTTCATTTCCCGCGGAACCGGGCACTAACTTCTATCCTTACTCTCCTTTTTCTCCCATAGAGTTTGGTGAGTGTCTCAGCACCCCCCMCCCCCAGGTCCCTGCTGCAGCCATGTATGTTAATAAGCCAAGTTACCTATGGGGCCTCGAGGGCAATTTTGCTAATACAGGACCTGTTCCCACTGTCCGCAGCTCTCTGCCTCTTGCAAGCCAGGCCTTCTCTCTCCCTACTTCCCTTCTCTCCTATTTTCCAGAGGGGCCACACTCCCTTTCCGTGAAGGGAGGGAAACAGGCCCATCTCACTCTCTCTCTCTCTCTCTCTGGTCTCAGGTGGCATTCAGCAAAATGGCGCTGGCATATTTCTGCAATATTTCTATTTTGCAAAGAGGAGGCCTTGGGGCAAAGATGTCAATCTACTCTTTCTCCTACTTTCCCCTTATTTTTCTTCTTTTTTCCTAATTATTCTTTGGTTCTAAATGGCCTCAYAAGAGTGTATCATCTTGAATTTATTCCACAGCCCTCTCTGATGACTTCTTTGGCAAACACCATTTCTAGCTGTCACACAAACCTCCCCCTATCCCCAACACTATATGCAGATAGTATCTGGAGAGGCTCAAAGTCTTTACTGAGAGTCCCCTGGACCTAAAACCCTGAGTAAGGGGACAGAACTCCTAAACCCAATCAAGCCCCGTGCTACGCAAAGCCAGGCCAGAGAATCAACAGGAGGCTCAGGGAAACCAGGCAGGGGGGACCACGTGCTCTGCTCCCCGTGGGGGTTTCAGARAAGGCATCCTTGTGTCCAGGAATGCTCTGGGGCACACACCTACCTCTGGGTGCTGCCACSTAGGGCACCCCAAAGCAAGGATTCTGCCCTCTTGCAGGTTTGGCTTATAACAATAGGCCATTGATCCCAGTCCTAGGGTGGGCAACTGAGTATAGGGAAAGTCTGGTGACAGTGGAAGGTCATTTGAAGATGTCTGCTCAGACCAGGAGCTCCTTGCATAAGGGACCTGTGTGCCTTTGGCTGGCTTTGAATGTCCTTCTGGGCTTTGACCGATGGTCAGGAGTGACCCCTGAGGAGTGCCTGGGTGGATAGGAAAGTATCTCTCTTTCCAGTTACCAAGGCAGTGCCCACTGGGTTGGCCATCATGTAACTTTGTGTCCCCTGGTGGGCTAAGACTGGCAGGGAATGGCTCATAGGGCAAACTACGAGGGCTGGGAGGAGGTGGTGCAGACAGGGCCAGATAGAGGGGCTGCCATGTGCCGCCTATGGTGGGGGGAGACCTGGGCTGCTTGAGAGCATCTGATCTGCTGAGACAATGGCCCTAGTCAGTCACCGCAGGCRGAGTGGGCTGTTCCCAAAAGCAAGGGCCTTTGGTAGAAGAGAACAGATCAGAGAAGCAAGAAACTGAGGCCAACTTGGCGTTTTAGCAACTGAGGTCGGAGAAGAAGTGGGGGCACTGCATGTGTAATGAAGAGGTTGTGTAATGAAGAGGTCCCCAGATTTCTCCCTCTGTCTGTCTCTGGGTGTGTGTGCTCAAAGCAAGGGGAGAAGCATCTCTTGAGACTATGRCCTACTTCTGCCTTGATGACCCTGACATGGTTACACCTCTGAGACCCTGAGGCCAGGCCACAGTAAGGACATTCATGCCTGGAGTCAATACCTAATGCCTCAGTTCTTTCTGGTCCCAGAACCTGGGCCCAAMACCTCCAGCTCTTCCTCAGATACCCCACCCTAAGAGAAAAAGTGAAGTGGAAACCTTTACAGCAGTCCTCCCACCCAGCGGCTCTGCCAGGACCCAGGAAAGCCACCTGCTCTCCCCAGACAAGCTGCCGGGCTGGCTCCTGTCCTCCCGCACCCCCAGTGTGCCCACTCGTTCTCTCCCTCCCGAGCCTGGGGCCTTCTCACTCACCGACCTGTTTACACACCAGGTATCTCATGCTTTATCTGCTCTCATTTTGAATTTGTAACTTTCACATAAACTTGAACAAAGCTCCTTTTGTTCCTGCACCCCACCCTAGGATCCCAATAAACTGGTTCCCTCTGAGGCGACTGGGCCAGGGCACAAAAGCCCCGGCCAAAGGACCGAGTGTGCATGTGAACCAGCATGTTCGCACCTGCGAGGGAGTCTGTGTGTTTGCGTGTGAGTGCACTCCCCAGGCTCATAGAGGGAGGGTGTTGGGAGAGTGGGAAGCCAGCAGAATGTGGATGGGAAGTATGGGGAGCTGGGGGGACAGAGGTGCCACGGCTTGGGCCACGGCCCGGGCTCATCAGCCAGCAGAGCCCATGCCTGGGCACGGAGAGGTGGGTGTGTGGGGGGGCAAATGTGGATGAAAAGGAAACAAAGGGGAGGAAAGAGCCACAGAGTGGGTGGCAGAGCAAAGGGCCGAGGCCACGCTAAGCGTAAGGCAGACACAGGGATCGCATTATGGTAGGGTAGGGGCTGGCATAGCCGCACGCTCGGCCCTGTAATCCTGTTAGCCAGCAATCTCCATTCCGAAAGAGCTTCATTTCTTTGTGAATATTTGTAAACTAGATATCTAATGGAAAATTATAGGAAAATTATAGTGAAATTCATGACGGAGAAATCCGATTATCCCTAATTCAATTATGCCATCTTAGCCCACACAGCACATTTCCCATTTTTTTCCCATAAATACCGATGCCAGGGGTCCCGGTAATCAAATAAAATTGAAAATCATCTTCCCATTAAATTCAATTAGCCGCAATTTCTAAAGCCTATCAGAGATTTTAATTACTAAATTATAAAATTCTCCAATGCTAAATTGAAACCAAAAAAATTGCACATCCTTATATTTCAGAGAAAAAAAAGGGGGGCCAGAAAAATCCTTGAAAAATGTCCTCCTCTCTGTCCAGCTCCAAAGCAGTATCCTCACCTAGAGGACCTCACAACGGCTGCCCTTTGCCTGGCCGGGGAGGGCCCTGCCAGGGCGAATCACACCCCCAGTCCCAGGCAGCTCAGCACAACATGGTGGTGGCCTTCCTCACTCTGGCTGTTCTGGCTCCTGAGATCTCAGCTCTGTCCCCCTTCAAGAGGTCTCTAACTCTCAGTGGCATCTTTTTGGCCAGAAGCTGGGCTTGGGCTCAGGCCACAGCTTGACACCAGGGATCTACAAGGTTCCAGGACAGCTGATCAGAGGCAGCTGGCTTCTCACCCGAGCCCCTGCTCTCTGGCCACTGTGCCATGCCCCCTGGCAGCCTAGGCCGTGTGGGAAATGGAAACAGCGCAAAGCCTGGTTCTGAAGGAGGACAGACACCACAGGGTGGTTCTGTGGGCCAGAGTCTTCTCCTGGGCGTTCCCGAGGGGCCACTGATCCTGGGAGAGTACCAGCCTCCTGGTATAAGGGTGGGATCAACTTGGCCCAAATCTGGCCACTCCCTGCACTTCTAGCTCGTTCTGTTCTCCTGACCCTCTCCTGGGAAGTCAGTAGACTTGAACTGGCCAGAGGGCATGCCCTTTCCCCATGGGACAGGCTCAGTCTGACCACCCCCCTTTAAGGGAAGTACTGGACACAACCCCAAGCAGTGGCCCCTCCCCCACATACCACTTACCCGCCGCTAAAGGGTGCTCTTCTAGTCAGGAGAGCCTGGGGGCGTGGCAACGATGGTGGCATAAAGGGACCTGGGGTCTAAAACCCAAGGCAGGTGGCTGAGTGGGCAGCCAATGGCCCCGGCAGGCTCAGGGCAGTCAGCGGCAGACCTGCCGGCAGCCCAGCACCCAGGAGCAGGGAGCAGGTTTGATTTGCCAGGCAGTCAGCGGTGCCAGCAGGGGAGGCACCGCAAACAAAACAAAAACAAAAAAGTTAATTATCTTTGGCTTTTTCTTAATAAATATCCAAACTGGCCCAGCCGGATCCTCCGCTTTGGAGGGAGAGAGAAGAAGGAGGAAAAAACACCCCAAACCAAATGCAACAGACTCTCTCGTGCCTACTTTTCCCTTTGTCTCTGGGCCTCCTATTTATCTCTTATCTGAAACCGTGAGGGTTTCACATTAATTCCTAAATTTTGCAAATGCAAGAGCCTGGCCACAGAAATTTTGTGTTTTTTGTTGTTGTTTTGTCTTTTTAGTTTTGGGTGGGAAAGTGAGGTGTGAGAGAAGAGAGAGGCAGGMGGGAAGGAAACCGGTAAGGCACACAGAACAGAAGGGAGGCGAGTGGGAGAGACAGGGAGGCAGAGGGTAGGAGGCAGGGAAGAGGGCTGGGACTGCCCCCTGGGCACAGCACCACCAATGGCACGAGCCAAGGCAGGGACCTGTTTGGGAAGGTTGCTTTGTCACTTTTATTTCAGCTACAATTATCCATGGGGATTTCTCATTTTAAAACTTCAAAACCACCTGGGTCTTTCTGGCCACTCAGCTCCTCGATTGCTGCTGGTCTCTGTGCTCAGCTTCTCTTGCAGGATTGTGGTTGGGCAAGGGCAGCCGGAGAGCATCCAGGGGAGGGACAACAGCCGTACTTACAGGGATGTGTGTGAAGCTGTTGTGCATGGAGTCGCAAGTTATCTGGGGAGAAGAGAGATGKGTGTCTCTGTCTGGGCCTACATGTTTGGATGGTGCATGTACATGTTTGAGTCCAAACTGTCAGAAACACGGGGCAGGGCATGTGTGTGTATGTGTGTGTGTGTAGGGGGGGTAGCCAGGACGTGGAACGGTCCCTCCTGAAGCACTGGCTCTGGAGTCTCCCAGCTCTATCATATGCTGACTGTGCAACCTTCACTAAGTCACTGGCCTTCTCTGAGCCTTCACTTCCTCAGCATCTGAAGGGAATAATAACTAGTGGTTGCCCGGGCCTGTGGGGAGGGGTGGATGGAGAGTGACAGCTGATGAGTTTGGGGTTTCTTTCAGGGGGATGAAAATGCTCTAAAATTAGATAGTGGTGATGGATGCCCAACCTCATGAATATACTAAAAAYCACTGAATTGTACATTTTAAAAGGGTGAATTTTATGGTATGTGAATTATATTTCAATAAAGCACTTATAAAAAAGTGGGGAGAAAAGGCAGGAGTCACAACAGCACTGTCTGCTTGGGAGTTGTGGGCACACAGCACACAGCAATTGCCAGTAGAGGATGGTGTTGGTGAGTGTATACTGCTGGTGCTTACAAACGTCCCCCTAGGTCGCTGCTGCCAGGGCCTGCAGGCTGTCAAGCCACTGAGCTGCCCCCGGGTGCCTGGTGGGGGCTCCCCGGCAGCTGCTCCCTGGCAGGGGCGGGAGAGTTCATGGCTCTCCTCCTGCTTCTCGCTGGGTCCCTGGAGAGGAGGCTACCCACCAAGGCAGGCGGACTCCCGGGCTGCGCACTCGCCCGTCTGGCAGACACTCGTATTCTCCATGTGCAGCAGACCGTGAATTCACCTTCATACTAGTTACAGGGTTATTTAGCTTCTCCTGACACTGACAATCACAAACTTTAATTCGCAGCCTGGCTTCTCCCTGCTGTGCCCTCTGCCTACCCCCGAAATCCTTGGGAGAGGATGGGAAGGACCGAGGTCCAGCTCTCTCTTGCCAAAGCTTGCCCTTCAGAGTGATGGAGTGATGGGAGGAGGCAGGGACGGTCGGAAGGAGAAGATGATGGGCAAAGGGCCGGGAGAGAACAGTGTGGGAGAGAGGAAGTACCACCAGGGCTAATGGGAGCTTCCGCCTGCTCCTCCAGCCTGACACTAATGTATTCAACCTGACATCCCATCCTGTCCTGAGTGACGACTCGGCTGACCAGGCCGCTGGACAGAGGGTCTGGCCAGGATGGATGGGGTTGGGACTCAGGCCTGGGGCTGAGCTCCAGGACCAGGCCGCGGGCATGGGGCAGGCTGCTCTGTTACTGCTGGACTAGCAGGTACCATCCAGGAGCCCAGCTGAGGGGGCCAAGTCAGGCCAGGTGGGACTGCTCCACACAGGGCTCTGCTGGCGCACTGCCTGTTGCTGCGCCATCCCTCTTCCTCTGATGAAGGCAGATGGATCTGCTCAAAGCTACTGCTAAACATCTGGTGGGACATCGAGACCCTGAGATGTCTCACTGACTACCCAGTCGCACAGCATGACATTGGTGCTGGAGACAGGGCTGCTGAGGCTTCACGTGTCAGGTCCTCGCTGCTGGGAAAAGCTGCTGCCGCCTGGCTCAGGGGCGGCCAGCCCTGGCAGTGCTCCTCTCTCTCCCCTCGGCTCCGACGGATCCCCTCCTTCTGTCTCCCCTGTGCCCCTACACCCTTTGCAGCAGTGGTCCAGCTGCCAGAAGCCCACAGAGGCCTGCCATTGACTCAGGGTCCTGTCAAGGCCAAAGATCTCATCTCTCAGCCACCCCCTGCCTCCTGCAGTCATCCCCATCATTCTTCTCCAAAGCCTCCCAGGCAAGTGACAGAGGGACAGTTTGCTCTGGGGAACAGGGGACCCTCGCTTTCACCAACTCCATGCTGGCCCCACCAGCCACTCAGCAGGCAGAGAGTCCCAGGAGCAGAAAGCCAAGCCAAGGGGACTCTTAAAGACCAGAGGCCTGTCAAGGACCCAGGCCAAGGAGCTTGGAAAAAGAGAAGCAGGGCTGGGGCAAAGGAGAGGCAGGGAAACGCACTGGTGGGTCCGAGGGTGTGTTCACTTCCTCCGGCCCCATTCCACTGCCCCACCCCTGCCAGCCAGGGAAGTGGCCAGGGTGGCCTGGGCAAGAGAGATGTCAACGGGGCCGATGGGAGAAGGGGCTTGTTGACTGCAAACTGTCCATTATGGCTCAGATTATAAGCATATTGCACAGGGCTTCTCTGCACGATGCCGGGGAAATCCAATACGCTGAAAGGTTAATGCAATCAATTAGGGTGACAAGGAAGTAAAGTAAAGCCTTCCGAGTAGATGAAAAGGAGAGAGCGGAGAGGAGAGGAGAGGGAGCCGGAGTCGCGGGGGGTGGCGGCAAGGCAGGGAGGGAGAAAAACTCCYGGGGTACAGAGAAGGACTGGAGGAGAGGAGAGAGGCACCCAAGGCCGGTGCCCACACAGAGGCCAGGAAAAGAGGCTGCAGAGAACCAGCAGGAGAGGGTGGCCAGCGCGCACCTCAGCTCCAGCCCCAGAAGCTGGACATGTAAAACTTCATTCTTCCCCGTTCCGCCAGCCTCTCCTCTAGGGATTGGAGCCTGGCCCCCAGGTTAGCCCACAGTCATGGTGCTGGACCAGGACAGCCTTGGCCGTGACCCTGGACAGAACAACTAACTGCCCACCAAATAAGTTCCAGGGACTTCTCAGCTAGCACAGTGGCCTGACCCCCATGGGACCAAGCTCAGACCCAGACTCTTTCTTGGCCTGTTTCCCTGCTGGCAATACCTGCCACAGCCTTCAGGGCTAGTCCCCAAACACTGGGTTCTTCTTAGCCACAGTCCGAAGAGCAGAGCATGGTGGTCAGGACTCTGTTTTACAGACTGAGATGCTGGCACTCAGAGAGGTCATCTACAAGGCCATCTGCAGTACACTGCCCAGGGGGTGTTCCTCTTCCACAGGTTCATTGGAATCAGAAGCCATGCCTTCTCAAGGGATCAAACTCAGAGGTGCCCAGAGCAGGGGCAGCTCCGTGGAACTTGCCCAGAGGCCTGTCAAGGACCCAGGCCAAGGAGCCTACTGTGGGCCCACTTTGGAGACACAGACTCTGGGAGGGAGGAGGAACCATGTACTTCTGCTACCTATTGGGTCCTGGGCTGGCCGCTCTTAGCCATAACTCACTCACTTGTCCCAACAACCCTGCAAAGTAGATGCTCTTCTCACCATGCAGAAGAGGAAACTGGGTCTGAGGTTAAACACCCTGCTAAAGGCTACTTGGGTACTGGAAGTYGGAGCTGGGAGGGAGCTCAGATGAGGAGAGAAGGGCTGGGACTTATAGGCAGGAAGACTGAGCAGAGGGTGAAGCCCTCAGGAGAGAAGAGATGGGGGCTCCCCAAGAGACCAGGACAGCAAACAGCTTGCAACCCCCAGCACAGGGCTCCCAGACAAACGCCCACGCCCCTCAGAGCAATCTCACTGAGCTCATGATGACGGCACACAGCACTGTGAATGCATGTACTGCCAGGAAATGGTACACTTAACRTTGTCACGACGGCAGATTTCACGTTACATATATTTTACCAGGGAGAGAGACACACACAGAGAGACAGAGAGCAGCAGCCAGAACCTCCAGGGCTGAGGCCAGAATCTTTTCTGTCAAGGGCTAGATATGAAATATTTTATGCTTTGTAGGCCAAACAGTTTGTTGTAACCACTCAACTCTGCCCCTCTAGAGTGAAAGTAGACATAGGCAGTATGCAAATGAATGGGCATGGCTGTTTCCAATAAAACTTTATTTATAAAAACAGACTGTGGGCCAAACGTGGCTCGGGGCCAGAGTTAGCCCAGGCCTGCTTCAGAAAATGGAGGCTCATGGGACCAACTTTCAGGACTTGCATGCCTGCTCCAATGTTCAACCTGGACTTTCAAAGGAGCAGAAGTGGAGAGGAGAAGGGGAAGAACAAGTCCTAGCACAGGAAGCCAACTTCCAGCTCCCAGCATCCTGGGAAGCGATTCTCTGTGCTAGAGATTCTCAGGGATGATAGGAAGGGGTGGAGATTCTCAAAGGCCTGAGAGGAGGCTGAGGCTGAGAGAGCAGGAAGGAGCAGCCAGAAGGGGGTGAGAAGGGGTGCAGGGAGAGAAAGGCCAGAGAGGACCCGGGAGCAGGCTGTAACCAGGGTGGTGCTGGCGGCAAAGGGAGGAATCCACAGGCCCCAGCGAGAGCGCAGGGCGCGGGCCGGGCCTGCCCTACACCGGGCCGCCTCTGATCACGTTTTCAGGGCCACTGCCCGCCGGCGCAGACAATGCTGGGGTAGCCTTTGAAGTACGAAAGRGATGCCGCAGTGGGAGCCTGGGGACTCTCCTCCCTCCCCCGTCCTCCCGAGGGGAGGGGGTCAGCAGGACAAAACCCGGAGCCAGTCGCAGCCGGGCCCCCGAAATGCAAGAGACAAAGGGAAAACAAACAGGTTTGGAGCCAAGCGCACGGTGCCCTGTCTGTCCCCCGCCCCGCCGAGAGGAGATGATGGATGGCTGCAGCCAGCCAGCTCGCCCGCCAGGCAGGCCCCGCTATTTACATAACACTGGCGTTCCACCGGTCACCTCTGACACGGCACTGCCTGGGGCCCGAGGCCCGGTGGCCCTGTGGTTCCTCGAGCCACCGGGGGACTGTGACAGCCTGTGAAGGTTGGGTAGACCAGGGCAGCCCCATGTGCCCAGCCCAGGGGGAGTCCTGGGCTGTGGAAAGGCAGGGTGCTGTGGTCTGCTCTCCCCTCCGTGGGAGGAAGGAGGAGGCCAATTGGGTAGCCAGCCTTGGAGGGGACAGGCAGAGGGGGAGTTCCAGGGCTTCAAGCCCACAGGGTTGTCTGGCAGGGCCACAGCAGAGCTTCCAGGGAGAGCCAGCAGTGGCGGCCAGAGCAGTGCATGGTACCACCGGCAGCCCAAGCCCSGGCCCCAGAGTCCCACTGTCTCATGCTGCCTGGAGCACAGTCCTTGCCCCTGTCTGCAATCCATGAGTCCCCCGCCCATTTCCAGCCAAAGAGCCAATCAGAGAAGCTCTGCTGGGGCTCATCTTTTCTTGCCAGGTTCCAATGGGCAGCATGGCTCCCATTTCCTGTCCCCCCCACCTTTCCCACTTCTCCTGGGTACTCAGGATGACACGTGTGTCATGCATGCGAGTGGTCACCAGCAGGAGAGAAGACACAGGATTATGGAGAAGGTGCATGCCTTACCTCCTAACGGGTCCTAGAGGTGCCTCAGATGCTGATGGGGTGTCACTTCATCCTGGGGAGGAAGAGAGAGAAGCCTGTTAGTCTTTTTTTTCTTTTTTTTTTGGTTCTGGGGACTGAACCCAGGGGCACTTTGACAATGAGCCACATTCCCATCCCCCTCTCCCATGCCTTTTGTATTTTGAGACGGGATCTCTCAAAGTTGCTTAGGGCCTTTCAAAGCTGCTGAGGCTGGCCTTGAACTTGCAATCCTCCTGTCTCAGATACCCAAGACTCTGGGATTACACACCATGCCATGTTCCCCTTAGCCTTTTCAGTCAGGAACTCCACAACTCTCCTGGGCAGGCCCTCCAAGACTCTCTGTGCCCCCAGAGTTCCCTGCCACTTTGTGGGTTGAGGGGCTGATGCTCTGAGGCCAGCTGCAGGGGTCAGCCATTCAGACATGCTGAGTAGACTCTGATTTTGACCCACTTAAGCACATACCAACCAAAGTCTGAAAATTCAGAAAGCAGCAGGGCCGATCACCAGGGAAATACAGATCTCAGGACAGCCCTAACCAAGAGGAGGAAAGTCAGACCATGATTCCCACTCTTGTCCACGGAGAGAGATGGGAATCAGGCATGGGGGGGCTCTGGTTATGGGGGGCTCCGGTTATGGGGACTACCAGCTCCCGTGGAGCTGCAGTGGCTGAGAAGGGTCGCCTGGAGACGACAGAACACAGCATCGGCTACCCCTTTACTCTTCCCCACCCCACCCCCCGAACATAAAAGTGACAGATGCCAAGCTTTTGCTAGAGTAAGTGGGTGTCCAAAGGGCAAGGGTGGACCAGGGCAGGTACCAAGAGGCCTCAACTCCTCAGGAACAGGCTGCGGATAGCACCTCCCAACCTGAAGTCCACCAGTAAGTCCCCACAACTACTGGAGGTCCACGTAGGGAGAGAGAAAYGGCCCAACAATGTCGAGGGTCTTTAACCAACACACGACCCAGCTTGGCCTTCAGGCTCAGGCCCTCCAGCCAACAGCAGGAGTGTGAGAAGCTTCACTCAGGAGAGACCCCCAGCACRGAGGGAAAACCCAAGGAGGCCTCTGCCCACCCACCTGGCCCCACCTGCCCTTGCTGAGCCGGCCCTGTGCTCTGGCCTCAGCATCAACCCCGCTCGGGAGAGTGTGCTCTTGGCTACGTTTTTTCTTTCCTCTCCCTCATTTGTGGCTTATCAATGATGCAAGAGGAATAACACCAATTTCCTTAGGCCGTGTAATCCCCAAATCAGATTGGGGGGATTGTGGGAGATGAGGTGACCTTGCACAGGGCTCGCGGAATGCCACCCAGTCCCACCAGCCGTTCTCCGTTCCCAGGACATATTTAGACAGATAATGCTAATTGTACCTGACATGCCCTCTTAAGGAGGGCTCGGCTCTCTGCTGGTGTTTGCTGCCTGTGCTGGGCTGGGGCAGAGGGGTGCCCGCCCTGCCAGTATAGCCTCTGGGAGGACTAAGGGTGTGGTGGGCAGGCAGTGGTTGTGGAGGGCCGCCCTGCAGGCTTCTAACACCCACCTATCTGATGCAGATGGTAAGAGCTGAGGGTCTGCAGAGAGCTGGGCAGGCAAATGAGATAGGGGGCAGCAGAGAGAAAGGGGGAGCMGAGGAGGCCAGCAGAGGCCCAGCGTGGAAAAGGGAGGAGTCAYAGAGGAGAGGCTAGCTGGGCCAAGTGGAAGGACCCCACACCAGGCCGCAGGACCAGGCACGGAGACCTCAGGCCTCCACCAGGAGGCACCAGGTGGGCTCCGCTGGCCGAGCTCACRTCCTGGCCAGTCAGTCTGGGCCCTGGCTGGGGTGTCGTCACTTTCCTGTCCATCCCAAGCTCTTCTGCCTGTGCTCTCTCAAGGAGTCCCGGCCAGCCTCCCTTGGACCCCCAAAGCCCCCCAACTCCACAACTCCAGTATCTCCCTTCTACCACCTTTTTCTCCCCTCCCATCCTCCCCGGCAACTGTGCATTTATTAATTCATGAGGCACTAATTAGTTCTTTGTTTAATTTTGTGTTAAACAGACTGACCGGAATGATAACGACTTGCAGCGCTGTGTTGGCGTCCCCAACCACCCCTGTTTTCTGACAACAAGGGAGCGCGGAGACCGGAGCGCTGAACCCAAATCCCTCAGCAGTTGCACTTCATTAAGTCAAAATGTGACAAGAAGCTTAGAGAGCAACTTGCAGATCTGATCGCACAGAACAATCGGCAGGAAACTTTCTAGGAGTTGGTTGGGGCTGGGGGAAGGGGGGAGGGGCAGAGATGCCACGTTCCAGGACCCGGATGCACTGGCCCCAGGCAGGTGGCCTGGTGGATCACAGCAGGGAGGCTGCCTCTGGGTGGATCTGGGACACTGGTGGATTCTAGGTCCGGGGGGGGGGGGGGGGGGGCGGCGAGGAGTCCCCAGTACTACAGGTTCAAGGTTCAATCTCTTTTATTGGGCAGGGCCTGGAATGGAACCCAGGGCCTTGAGCACGCTAGGCACACGCTCTACTACGAGCTGCATCCCAGCACCATTTCTCTCTCCTTGCCAAAGTATCTTCTCCTGTCTGCCCTTCTCTGTGCCTGATGCCTGTTCTGGCCCCTATGAGTAGGTGGCATGTCCAAGGACTGGCAGAGTCAGGAAGTGGATGTGGTCAAGAGGGATTCTGCCAGGCCCAGGAAGAGGTAGAGCAGCTGGGAAAACCAGAGAGTGGGGGACCTACTCTCAGGGAGGCTCAGGATAAGCAAGACCCTTCTAGGCTAGAAAGGGGAAGGAATGTGCTCAAGGGTCATGGCAGAAAGTGCCCAAGGAATGCCAGGGTACCCACACCGTCAGTGGCCCACCCCTCCATCCATCCACCTGTCCGTCTGTCCACCCAGTGTTTAATCCTAACTACTCGCGTCAGACAACCAAGGACCAGAAGGTTGAGGACAGCTAACAAAGCTCATGGTGACAGTAACCTTGCGGCCCCTTCCTCCTGTCCATGGGAAAGATCTTGGCTCCAGAGGTGCCAAGCTAGCAGCCCTATTGGCCCATGGTCTAGGTGAGGATGGCGAAATCAAAAGCGCACCCTGCCCCAGACCAGAGGCAGCAGCCTGACCCCAGTGTGTGACAGTGAAGAGGACAGAAAAGCTGGGGACGGTGGGCCCAGTGAGCCCTCCCGCGAGAAGCTCGTTGCCTTCTTCTTGCTGGCTGCTGCCTGTCGGTGCGGCCTGACCTCTGCCGAGCTCGCCCAGCCCACAGGCCAGGAGGGGAGTGCGCGGGGCAGCCTGCCTCATGCCTCCCCTGGCCGGTCGGTCGGAAGCTCAGTGGTCTCCCACCCGAGCCTGGCAGCCCTGGGCTGGCTTCTGTTAATTTGCTGTCAGGCGGCCTAAGCAAACCAATTAAAACTAATCATTAATTATAAAAGAGCGAGAAGAGTAGAGAGGAGAGGGTGAAAGACGGAGATGGGGAGGAGGAAGAGGGAAGAGCAGGGGCCTGGGAGCTCGGTGGGGCACYCGGGTGGGCCGGGCCAGGAGGGGCAGAGGTGCTGGAGTCCAGGGTCCAGGAAGGATGGTGGAGAGTGAAGGGGGGCAGGGCAGGGGCCAGCRTACCAGGACCTGGAGAAGGCTCATCCCTCGCAGTCACCGGGAGCCAATGCCTGGCCAGGCTCGGCCTCGGAGCCTCACCCGCGGCTGCCCAGCTCCGTGTGTATGAGGCTCCTCTGATTRTGCAGCCCAGGCCAGGCCCCTGTCCCCATTCTCCTACCTGCTCCCAACCCTCTGGGGCCATGGAGGCTCAGGACAGCTGTCGGGCTGCCCGGCTCCCCCCAGTGCTGGCTCCTTCCCCTGCCCCCTCGGCCTCCCGTCCTCGCACACCCCCTCTCCAGGCCTGGCCCTTTCACAGGGGCTGGGGCCATGTCAGTGGCAGCTTGAGGAGGGGGGCAGACAGACAACAAGGGGCAGCGTCATGGAAACGGGCACTTTCCCGGAGAAATATTCTGTTTGGCYCCCTCCCTGCATTGAGGAGCTGTCAGGAGTCTGGGTGAGAGTCACACTATCCCGGGACCAGGCGTGACAAAACCTATTTTCTGCCTCAAATTTGATTGATTAAAAAACTTTTTAGGAAAACCATGTTAAAAGGGGAAAAAGAGAGAGWGAGAGAGGGAAAGAGAGGGAGGGAGGCAGAAATAGAGGGGAAAAGGAAGAAAGAACAGAAAGAGCGAAGGGGAGGAGGGCTGGGGAGAGAAGGCCACGCAGGGGCCAGGCAGGCCCTCCCCAGCCYGCGCAGTGCCCGCCCGCCCGGGGATGTGTGTCAGTGGGCCATCCACAGCGTGACCAGGCAAGACGGAGAGGTCACAGGACGCCCAGAACCTTCACACAGTGGTTAGCAGGACAATGAGGGGCCGCGGGCTCTGCGTGGTCCAGCAGGTGCCGGGTCTGGATGGGACGGCAGTCAGAGTGAGCTGCCCGTCCCCGCAGAGGGCAGGGCGCCAAGACCTCCAGGCAGGGAGGTCCAGGTGGCTGTGTCTGTCCAGCACCTGGAGATGGCCTCTGGATTGGCATTGTTTCCCAGTCTTGATGGGCATTTGTCCAGAACCCTGAAAAGTCTGCACAGGGTCAAGAAGGAGGACCTAGGGATTCAGGAACAGGAAAGGGGTTTGCCAAYGTGTTCTTTTAAGCCCTGGCTCCAGGTTTGTTGGTGGTATTGGCCACTGCACACAGGACCTCRCCAGTCTACCACTGGGGCCCCTTCCCCAGCCCTTCAAGAATTTTTTTTTTTTTTTTTAACAATAGTCATAAAATAAAAAAGCAGAGAGGCACCCAGCTTGGCCCCTCTGTCCTGCAGCTAGGAACCCTGCTGGCCAGGTTGGCCCTGGGCGCTCTCACTCTCCCAGTCCGTCCTGGGCCTTCCCAACTCAGGCCTTCATGTCCTATTGGACGCTGTCTCAAATGATTCCCACGCATGGCCAGGGACTCTGAGGCTGATGGGAGATGCTCAAGGCTCCAGGAAAAGAGGTGCCCTCTGGCCCCTCCTGGGACCCCTCTGGAGAAGAAAATAATGCCA